AAAATAAAATAAAATAAAATAAATAAAAGATGGTTTGCTTCTCCAGTTGTGAATGATGACATCATTCTGGTTCTGAGCTACTTTGGGCAGCCTCTGCTGATTTGTTCTTCTATTGGACAGTACCAGAAATTTGTGGAGGGTGGCTAAGTCTTTCTTTTTTTTTTTTTAATTGGCATTAGGGAAAGATTTGGTATAGGAGGAGGACAGAGCTAATATTTCAATGGGGATTTTAGACTACTCCTGGCTCTTTGATTTTTTTCAGCCACAGGAAATATGGGTAAAGATAAATTTATGAGGAAGACTAAGGAGTGATGGGATTAGCATAAGGCTGTGTAGCTCTCCCAGAGGCCCAAAGAGGAGAAGCACAAATAATATGGTAACGTAAGGATTTTCCTATTTCTCACACCATTTGTTGCTTCCATCCCAAGCATCGTAGTATCTGTGTAGTCATGTGATTGGTAAAGATACCTGCTGAGTAGCCAAAGGAATATGTTTGAGTGCATTCCCTGGATATGGGTTCCACATCCTGAGGAGAGGCCACATGTTTCTTCTGGGGACAGGCACTTTCCTTGTGTGCCCCCCACCCCATTCCTGCCCCTTGGCCGCCCCTGCAGGAGCCGTATTCCTGTTGGCCTGCCCCCAGTCCTCACCCCAACTTCCCTGCCCACCCATCCCTGGTACCCAGGCCGTCTGTTGCTGTCTTGGGTGCATAAAAGGGACATTAGCCAGTGCCAATAGGACGGGAGTGCCTGCTTTGTGAAAGGATGAACCCCTGGCAGCTCCAAAGCCTGGGCACCACCCTCACCTTCCAACATGGGCGCCTGGCTCTGCCAGGCAGGCCCGAGGGAAGAGGATGTTTCCATAGCCAAGCAGACAAGTTAGCATTTGTGAACACAGCTCTGAAGTTGTGTGGAAGGTCTGTTTGCCAGAAGCAACCCCGTGCGCTTCTCTTTCATCCAGAGATCAAGAGAGCCTTTATTCTGTGTCTTTTGACTGGCCTTGGGGACCGTGGGAAGGGGCTTCCTCTACCTCAGAGTGAAGGTGCCCGACTTGGGAGAGAACTGTCACTGTCCACCCAGGAGCCCCTCAGCTGATCTGGCCCGTGGCTGAGTGTCACCAGGAAGACCCCTCCCCCGTGCATTTTGCAGCCGTGACACCGTTTGGAAACAGCCCTGCCTTGAGTCCCACTCTGTGGTTGTAATATGTACGTGGAGCCACCCAAGGGCTGCGTCATTTCACGATGACCCTCGGCCACGAGAATGTGTCCCATCATCTGTGTCTGTGTGTCTGTGGGGGGGGTCCTCAGGGTTTCCCTGGGCATGTTTCCTGATTTCATACACATCCGCTGGGCCCCTGAAGGGATAGCTGGTGGGGCCAGCCTCCTCCATGGACACACACCATGAGCCACTATAGGAACACGGAGACTCAGGCTCGGGAATCTGTGCTAAATTCAGTCCAGTACATTCTTGGGAAATGTCCACTGGACTTGGGGTCCTTTTAACAGCCATAGAGTGTAAGGCTTCTGTGACTGTCCTGGGCAGGGTTTGCTCCATTTGGGAAGTAGAAGAGCAGAAGCGAGGCGCTAGGCCCTGCTGGGACCCCATGTAGGGGCTGGTTAAGCGTCCGCCTTCTGCTTGGGTCGTGATCCCAGGGTCCTGGGATCAAGTCCCGCATTGGGCTCCCTGCTCAGGGCAGAGCCTGCTTCTCCCTCTCCCTCTGCCATTCCTTCTGCTTGTGCTCTCTGGCTCTGTCTATCTCTTTGTCAAATAAATAAATAAAATCTTTAAAGAAAAAAAGAGTAGCTTTGTGGAAACAAACAAGCAAAAAACAAAACAAAACAAAAACCGAAGGGGTGAACTGCCCAGAAAAAAATTGAGAGCAAGAGACATTTGAAGGAACACGTGTAAGCCAAATGCTCAACAGCAAAGCCTGAGCATTCCATGAAGAAAATTGCTCCAAAGGGAACCAGTGGGTCCCGTGCCCTGGAGGTTGGCGAGGGTGGGAATCAGCTTCTTGATTTTTATCGGTTGGCCCGTGTTCGGGTTGCGTCTCCAAGGCCTCCCCCGAATGCTGAGTTCTCTGTGGTCGGTGCCCGGCCATTTCCGAGGCTGGAGAGATACGGCTGTGATCCCTGATCCCCACGGCTCTGTCCCGGCCCTCCCAGAAGGGACCTCCGAGGCCTGTCTCGCCCACGCTCTGAGTTTCTCGGATCTTGCTCATATTTCCTGGAGCCTCCCCCATGCGGTACTTTTGCCAAAACCATCGGCAGCACTTCCAGCTGAGGCCGACTGGAGGCTAGTCTTCGGCTGGGGGTCTGCCACTGGTGAGTCAGGTGTCCTGTTCTGGGAAAGACAGGGAGGCAGGGAGCCGACCTGATCTCACCTTAGACACAGCTCACGGCCGCTCGAAGATTCCTCGTGCCGACCCCAGGCCGGACAGACAGGTGTCTCTTATCTTCTCGGAGCCCAGAGCCGCCCGGGTGTGGGGTCTCCCAGATGCTGCGTGTGGTTTTCAAGCCTATCCCTTTTCTACTCCCTCATTTTAGAAGGTGCTGGACGAATGCCAGAACCAGCGGGCCTGCCACCTCCTGGTCAATAGCCGTGTTTTTGGACCTGACCTTTGCCCAGGAAGCAGTAAATACCTCCTGGTCTCCTTTAAATGCCAGCCTAGTAAGTAACGTCTGAGGGGGACAGCGTGTTTGGGGTGCGGGTTCCCTGTTTCATTCACAGCCCTCGTGGAGATTCTCTGCCAGTTGGTATTTGTCCCACTTAGAAACTTGTTAATAGAGATGTCCTACCCGTTTTTGTATTAGTTTGTGGGTATTTGCGTGAATAGTTTGTGTGTATTTGTGTGTGTGTGCGTACACCCATATATCCGCGTGCATTCTTACGAATCCCTGAATTCAAAATGTCCTTCCTGATATGTAAACCTCAGTTGTACCCATGCTAAAGGTAGGCCTTTCCCCCAAACGAGGAGCCAGTTCTCCTTTTCAGAGGAAGCCCACCCCCAGCTGCGGGGCTGCTTGCTCTCACGAGAGGGCACGGCTGCCCCCGGAGCCCCGGGTTCCAGATCTTTATGAATCACCTCTTCTGCTTTCACCGAAGCAGGGGCTCTGTACCCAGTGTCTCTTCCTGGAGAAAGAAAGTGGAAGGGCTTCTGGCTGGAGCAACCTCTTCTACTCTGATTCTTGCGTTTCTCTCCGTTGACTGTGTCACCTGAAACGCACCTTAGTTTTGTGATCAACCCACTGCAGCCAAAAGGAACTGCTTTTTAGCGAGTAGGTCACCCTTACAGATGTGGTGGCCCAGCCCGAGAGAAGCCATAGGTAAGGGCAACATTAGAGGCTCCTGGTAATCCTTGTTGAAAAGAAAGCAGCGTTATAGCAACAACATTAACCAAAGGATTATACTGAAGGAATAATCATTTGAAAAAATTCTGCACTGCCATCCCAACACACCGTTTTTGTTTTTTTGCATTTTGTTCTCAGTTGGTTTCTGCCTCTGGAGCCCAGCATCTTCCCAAGACACTGGCAGACTGGGTGCCGGGGGCGGGTGAGGCTTTGGGTCACACGTGTGTCGTGCGTGGTCTCAAGTGCGCACTTGAAGAGAAAGCACGGGATCCTTTCAGCAAATATCTAGCCTTCCGTCTTAAACCCTTTCCTTGCTGGGGCCCGGATACCTCAGAACTGCCCCTCTGCCTCTTCCCCCAGCCTGTGTGTTCAAACACACATTCACACTCACACGCACATACACACCTTCACACGCTTACAACGTACGCACGGTCACTCGTACATACACAATAGCACGCCTGTGTGTGCTATTACACGCAGACCCACTGTCACACACATACTCACACGTGCACATGATCACAAACACCCACAAGCGGGCCCAAACTTGACACCCCAGCCGGGCCCTCCCCAGGAATTCTTGTCAACTCCTGCCTCACTTGGGAACATCCCTTCCAGATCTCCGTGTTCTCAGTCATGTCCTTCCCATGGCTAAGTCTCAAAAACGGCCGTCCTCCTTCCATGGTGGGAAAGACAACCCTTTTTTAAAGTGGCCCTTGTTCAAAACGTTAAGGATTGGAGAATCTGGGTGGTGGGAAATATGCCCGTCGCTTGTGATAATCTGCCACATTTCCTATACGTCGGAAGTTTTTTGTAATAAAAAGTTGCGAAGGACCAGCCTCTAAGAGAAGGAAAAAGACCCTCGTGAGGTGGCAGAACCTCGAATCTAAGTCAGTGGCAGGCCACCAGCCTTATTCCTGCACCGAGCAATTAGGTCTGATCACTAATCTCGTTTCAGTAAAATACTTTTTTTTTTAAAGATTTTATTTATTCATTTGAGACACAGAGAGAGAGAGAGCATGAGCAGGGAGAGAGGCAGAGGGAGAAGGAGAAGCAGGCTCCCTGCTGAGCCAGGAGCCCGATGCGGGGCTCGATCTCAGGACCCTGGGATCATGACCTGAGCCGAAAGCAGATGCTTAACCATCTGAGCCACCCAGACGCCCCTCGTTTCAGCAAAATACTTATTAAGCAACTCCTGTGCACAGGGGTCAGGCCAGCTGTTGGGTATGAAGAGAACTCTCGTGTTCTGTGGAAGTTTCTCAGATGGTGGTTCCACCTGGGACAGCTCCCAGCGTTCCTTCATCCAGCGAGCACTTATTAACATCTTCACACAGCTGCTTTCTTCTTGTCCTTTAGGTTCTAACAAATATCACCTTTCTCCAGAAAGATCAGATCTGTCCAGAAAACATCTCAGCAGGAGCCCTGCTGTCTTGGTACTGTGCAGGTTGCTCTGGGAGGAACTGACCCGGGCAGGGTGGTGCAGGGAAGGCGTTCCTGTCAGGTGATGGTGGGGCTGAGGACTGGAGGATAGGGGGCGGGCACAGGAGCACTCCATATGGAAGCCTGTGGCCAGAGGGAGCAGGGGGCTCTGGGGAGCAAGCAAGAGCACCGGCCAGGGAGCTGGGGCAGGATCCCCGAGCCCTGATAGCCGAGGAAGGAGGTGGATTCTTTCTTTAAGCAGGGAGGGTGTGTGGCTGGGTTTTTAAAGTCCCCTCTGGCTGCCCTGTGTGGTAACAGATTAGGGTCAGAGCCCTTGTGTCTTAGTCTGTTCGAGCTATTATAACAAAATGTCATAAACTGGGAGGCTTATAATCAACAGAAGTTTATTTCTCATAGTTCTGGAGGCTGGGAAGACCAAGACCGAGGTGCTGACAGATTTGGTGTCTGCCGAGGGCCCACCTTCTCACCGTTGGCTGTCTTTTTGCCATAACCACCTTCCTTGGCAGAAAGGACGAGGAATCTCTCTGGGGGTCTCGTTCACAAAGGGCACTCATCCCTGGGGGCTCCACCCTCATGACCAAAGCACCTTCCAAAAGCCCCACCCCTTAACACCATCCAGCTGGGCGTTAGGATTTCAACTTGAGTTGAAGGGGGATGCAGTCGTTCAGACCAGAGCACCTTGGGTAACATGGGCCTCGGTGACCTGAGGCATTGCAGGTTAGGAGATGCTTCTGTCCCTGCTGTGAGGTGAAGGAGGAAGGGAGGGGCTCCCCTACCCTCCCGCCTCTTTTTCTGCAGCCCTCTCACCCCGGAGGCTCTCTGTCTCCGGTGCCAGCCTGAGTGTGACACTGATTGTCCTAAGGGGAACCCTGCTGCACCCAGGAGTGCGGGGACCCAGCCCTCATCCTGAGAGCCAACTATGCGCATCTCTTTCCGGCTCCGGCCAGTGGGCAGTGAAGTCTGCCACCACGGGAGCATTTACACCAGGGAGCTGGGCGAACGCTGCCAACCAGGGCTGGCTTGTTGGTGGTCGGGGAGCTATTTTATAGGGAAACTTCCAGCGTCAGGTCCGTGATTCAACTGTCAAGTGAGGATAATGCGCTTCCCGCACGGGGCTGTGGTAAAGAGTGTATAAGTACAGTGTTGTGTAGACGAAAGCTACAGTGCCTTTTGTAAGATGCTTAGCACAGGACTTGTCACACAGGTGCCCTCAGTGACTGGTGGCCGTCGTTCCAGTAGGCAGATTAAAGTCATCCTTGCTGAGGATATGAATGACCGAAAGGCAGTGAGACACCAGGTGTTGGGGGGCTGGGGTGAGGTCTGCCCAGGGTGCAGGCAATAACAGGACACACTGTCTGCAGAGAATTTAAAAAAACACATTAAAAGTGACTAAATCTCTCTCTGCATGTTGATAATATCGCCGTGTATGATCGTCGAAAGTAACGTCAGTAATCACACATTCTCATCATGGCAGGTCACCCTCCCCACCCCGCTTAGAAGGGCCCCCTGCGGATATGCAGGGGCATATCTGTGTCATTAGGGAGGCCCCACCTAGCCCCTGGCTTGGCAGTATTAGGAGGGAGACTTTGTTACTGTTGTCCTTGAAGAAGAGTCCTGGCTGTCCCTCTGCCCAGGCTCCTGTCACTCTCCCTGTCCACACTCATGGGGCTGATGGCAACCCTTCTGGGAGTCTCCCCCCGCCTTTTCTAATCTGAGACCACTGAGCACTCTCACCCAGCTCTAAAACAAATTCTCTTTCTCTATCCAAAGTAGCAATCTGTTAGTGGTCCCATTGTTTTTAGGACCCAGAAGTGTCACTCTTAGGTGACAGTGAATTAGCACATTCCCAAGGAACCAAGTGACTCAACATCACACAGCAGTAACCCCAAGCATGTAATGTGACACTCACAGGCCCCTCCATTCCAGATGATTGGCCCATATTCTGGGGACAGGATCACTGGAGGCCTTAGAGTGCAGGTGTTGTGTTACTCTGGGTGAGTTTGGCCAGCATCGAGGCCTCCTTTAATGAATGGGCCTTAGTACATCAGAGAGGTGGTGGCTAATAAATGCACTTCATGACAGGCCTTAAAAAGTCTCTTCTAATTTTTAAAAAATTCTGAGAAAGAAAGAAAAAGAAAGAAAGAAAGAAAGAAAGAAAGAAAGAAAGAAAGAAAGAAAGAAAGAAAGGAGGGAGGGAGGAAGGAAGGAAGAAAAAAGAAGGGAGGAAGGAAGGAAGGAAACAAAGAAAGGAGGGAGGGAGGAAGGAAGGAAGGAAGAAAATAAGGAAGGAAGGTAGGAAGGAAGGAAAGAAGGAAAGAGAAAGAAAGAAAGAAGAAAGAAAGAAAGAGAAAGGAAGAAGGAAGGAAGAAAGGAAGAAGAAAGAAAGAAAGAAAGAAAGAAAGAAAGAAAGAAAGAAAGGAGGAAGGGAGGAAGGAAGGAGGGAGGAAGGAAGGAAGAAAAAAGAAGGGAGGAAGGGAGGAAGGAAACAAAGGAGGGAGGGAGGAAGGAACGAAGGAAGAAAATAAATAAGGAAGGAAGGTAGGAAGGAAAGAAGGAAAGAGAAAGAAAGAAAGAAAGAAAGAGAAAGGAAGAAGGAAGGAAGAAAGGAAGAAAGCAAGCAAGCAAGCAAACCAGCCAATCCTGTTAGAAAACTTCCAGTTTGCTAGGTAAGGCTTGGTTTTCATCCTTTTTGGTGAGCTCTGCCACTGGAAGGCATTCTTAACATTCTTCAGTATTCTCCCAGTTGGAAGGGGGCTTGGGCTCTTTTGGTGTGTCTACCCGCGCCCTCTGTTCTGCATCAAAGGCCATCTTTCATTCTGGGCCTTTGAAGTAAGGCATTATTTTGGTGTTGTTGGGATTTAGCGTTTACTCATAAAAGGCATC